TGACATCAACACATTATGCAACTGCATATTAAATTATCTGTCWTGAAATAAAATGATACTTTACTTCTTTACAGTGGGAAACATTAACACAATTTGTCAAYTGGCTGGGAAGAGAAGGTAATATTCAAATAAAGTTTCTTGAATTTACCTTATCTCTTGTTTTTTACACAAACTTGATAAATGATTTGCTATTCCACAAAACTGGAAGAACAGGCCTCTTTGGTACCCCCTTTAATYTGAGCATTGTTTATTTTATTTTTTAAGGATTATGTACAGTGGACCATACAGAAAAGGGTTGGTTTATTACATATATTGACAGAGATCCAGAGGCTCTTGAAAGGCAGAAAGTAAGTTTTCAGCAACTTCTTTTACTTCAGTACTGATTTACTAGAATAAGGTTAATATTGATTACAAGTTTAAATACGATCATTATGAATTGAAGGCTCTTGATGCTAAAGAGAAGGCTGATCTTGATGATGCAGACAAACAAGGTAAATTTAACTTAAAAAGTCAAATACTTATCCAGTCATTTGGACAAATAGAGTTGCTTAAAGCTAGAAGTGAAGACTTAAACAAAGTTTGTTTTTTTTTTTCATTTTAAAGCTAAATTACTCCAAAAACAAATCGACAGAGAATTAGCAAGAAAGAAGGATGAGGTAAAGCTTGAAATGAAATTYTGAAAAAGTTACATTTTGATAAGTTTGACAAAATCATTATTAAATATTTCTCATTTCAGCCCGAGGTACAATTCACAGAACTACAAAGAGAAAGTGAAGAAGAGAAAGGTATATGAAGTGAAGACAAAAATACCGTAACATGGGATTGATGAAAAAATGATTATAATGGTGATGTTATGCATCAATTMCAAAGACATTTCTCAAAAAAGTTACATGTAGCAACTTCTAATCTACATTTTTTTGTCTAATGCCTATATATTCTGTTCACATCATATTTGTGTACTTTTCTACAGTTATTTTTAGCCTTAATACTGGCAATAAACAAACAACTGGTGATGCTGGTCAAAGTGGTTTGGCAACAAGGTAATTAATATAGAATACATATAAAACCAGGCATTATAGCAAGTGGAAATAAAATGAACAACTCTGAATACGACAAGATATCTTTTGATACATTTTACAGCCAGCAAGGAACAGAAAAGCCAAAGACACAAAATCCACTGGAAAGTTTAGCTTCATCTAGTCAAAAGAATAAAGATAAACCATCAAGTAAAGATTCAAAAGATAAAGAAAGGTTAGAAGACATTTTACAAAGGAAAATTTAAACACAAGAACAAAGATATAAGATAGCATTTTGATTTCAAGTCCCAGTCACGAGGGGATCACACTCTATCCCAAGATGCATTTTCATGGTGTTTTTGTGATCATTTGAGAAAATTCAACWCCCTTTAGCTGACCTTACTATAAGAGAGATCATGGATTTTACCCCCTTGATTATGTTGTCTGCTRTGTGTATCAATAGTACATTGTATATAATATGTTTGCTTTTCCCTAACAGTCGGAAGCGAAAATCAGCTATGGAGGAAATCATGGAGGTGAGTGCTGATTTGWGATAAGGAGCTACAGTAGATGTATTCTCTTTAGTTGTCTATACTTAGAGGAAGTCCAGAGTCAAATGACACTGTARTGATCAAATTGTTATTCTTAGTTGGAGAAAATCAAGAAAGAGAAGATGAGTAAAAAAGACTATTGGCTCTGCAAGGTATTTGKTCTTTAAGTTTCTGATAATAAATAATTATAAACACAATCATTCAAAATTCAACCTTTGTTATAGGATATCATTGTCAAAGTTGTATACAAAAAACTTGGYGAAAAGTATTACAAAAAGAAGGGCGTTGTCAAGGTAACAGTTTTGCTGACTATACATACAGTATACAATCCCTTAAAAAAATTCTAACAATCATGTTTTATAAAACTCCAACTGGAACCAGTTTTAAGAAGAGTGAGTAGCACTATCCAGCAGTCAAAACKCATACAAAATCTATGGGGAGTGGATAGCTTACATAATCCATCCTTTGTATACTGTACCTGTCCCTGGTTTATTGCTACTAACCCTGTTACTTTGTAGAGTGTTGAGAACCGTTATGTTGGCATTGTTAAGATGCTAGACAGTGGAGATACAATCAAAATAGATCAAGAACACTTGGAAACTGTAATACCAGCCGTTGGTGAGTGAACAAGTAGCCCTTGTGCCTTTTAATCAATTATTAATATGATATTTCCAGTTTTAAGTGTGATATCCTCCACACTAGACCAAGAGGTTTAGTCTTCTGGCAGTTGTTCTATTCTAAAGATTGCCATCTTTCTTATAACTAATAAAATGCCATTGTTTGTTTTTAGGCAAAAGTGTACTTGTTGTTAATGGACAGTACAGAGGAATGACTGCAAGAATGGTGGRACTGGATGAGAAATCATTTTCCGTGACTATTGAGCTAAAAGAGGTATATAAGAAGCTAAATTATGCCATTATTGCAAATTTACATAACATTCAAATGTTTTGTTTTTTACGTTTGTCTAGGGCCCAGAAAGAGGAAGAGTTGTAAATAAGATTCCTTATGAAGACATCTGTAAACTTGATGTGCAAGGCTGAGAACAAATTTTGAAAATACATGTACATATCAAATTGTAAAATAAATGGTTAGAGTAAAGCAGTCATGAGTCACTTTATCCTCCTGTCTTGTGGATTCACTTTATGAATTTACTTCAAATTCCAGATCAAAATGATGGTATGTCACCATTCCTGGATCATTTCCTGGTCTTGGTGGTGTAATTTCAGCTGTAAGTTCACTGCYGCCTTCATTTGATCCTTTSATAGTTTTCTGTGGGTCCTTGTTTTCTTYGCTTGTCAAAAAACAAGCAGCAAGGAGTGTTACATGCCCAGATGTAGCCTCTGCATGACGTATAGGTGGAGAGACTTGAGTATATGTTTCTTATACTGATGTTAATGTRAAAATATCAATCTGTTATGTGCTGCAGTCTTCGTTCTACCCAGTCTTTCTCTTTGTCCATATTATGTTCTTGAAAAAATTCTAAAAGCTGAAAATGACAAAATTAACAAGATTAACTACAATGTAGTATATTAATGATATAGTAAAACCAAATTATTAGAGTCACTGTTAACCTTTCTGTAACGTTGTTTGATGTCAAATCCACACAAATGTTGGAGTTTATGAAGATCAACTGGACAGAGATAAATAGGTTGAGCTGTAAAAAAACAAAGTTCTTTAGCATTACTATTGAAGATTCTTGTGGACAATCCTTCATTAACTTTGCAATTACTCACCAAAATCTTCTTCAAGATGTCCTGAACCATTCATACAACATGAATACCAAATACAATGATCTAATCCAAACAGATGAGCTATTTCATGAACTAGCAACTTACAGCTACGCTAGAGAAATAAAAAATCCTTTACAATAGAAATTATAWGGGTTACTGCCAACAGAATTGTAATTATTGCAAGTTGTACCTGTAACATTATAGATCTTTTCTCTTCTTGACAATATTCCTTGATTTGTTCCATCTCATACCAGAATTCCTTGGAGAAGCTCAGTCCTGGCTCATATCGTGCAAAGCTGAAAACCTAAAAAAGAAAAGAGTTCCTCAAAAAAAGCCCTGACACATTTGTGCATTCTGTCCTGACAGAGACAAGCAGGGAATTTTGAAATAATCTACAAAGCCATAATACGTACAGCAACTTTCCTATTTCCATATGCCATTCCTGCTACAAAGAGATCTGAGACATCTTGATACAAGTCAGCCATTGTAAGACCAATAAAGCAAAGAGCATTTGTAGGGATATTTTCATGTAAAGCTTTTAGAATACTATCAACATTCAACTGAATTCTACCTGCAGAAGCAATAAAAAATATTGTGAATTGAGTGAATAAACTCTTAGCGATCTCTTTTAAATATGCTGTGTTAGCCTCAAAACCATGTAATAAACTCTTTTATTCTAACAGCCTGTGCAAATGCAAGAGATTCGTGAGTATAGAAGATAATGGAAATAGTTTGAAATTTCATGAGTTATATTTAGATTTCTGAATATTTTACACGCCATAATTGTGGCTTACACAGTGTAAAGGAMATTGCAAAACTCAACTATTCTAGATATCAGATTATATGCAGATATAATTACCATGATACCATCTGTGATCAATCTCTCTAGACTTTGATTCAAGACGTGAACTCCTTCTCAGATGGTTTTTACTTGTGTCTGATTCATCATTATTCTCCTGTTTAAAACCATGCCAAGTTACCGGTCCATCTGCATTAATTATAACATAATGATTAAATTGCTTTTTGACTGGTGGATGGATGTGCGGACAGATGCATAGATTAAATTAATTAATTGATAAATCATGCAAATGATTGATTGTCTGAATTACTAATTAATTGATTGACTGACTGACTGATTGATTGATCAATTGATTGACTGATTGATTGATTGACTGATTGATTGATTGATTGATTGATCAATTGATTGACTGATTGAGTGACTGATTGATTGACTGACTGATTGATAGATTGATTGATAAGTGACCGATTGATTGATTTCTGACTGAATAAATGAATGAATGGTTGTTTCATATCAGATTAAATGACTGAATGATTGATCAATTGATTAAAGATGTACATGAAAGTAAAAGGAATATTTCTTATAACACCTTTTTCACTTGGAAGTTGTAAATTAACTCCAGGCAACACTTCTACTGGTATATCATAAAACATCTGGGCATACTRTGCAAGTTGGTCTATCCTAGGACTTGAATTTTCCTCAAATTCACCAAGYGGTTGAAGAAATATTTTCCCCTCGGGATATTTGTCCTTAATGGTGTTCCCTTCGGGAACAAARTTTTGTTTAATGAYCTTTCTTTTTCTTGTGGATAACCATGGACATGTAGAGAGAAAATTCCTGAAGTTCTGCCCTTCTTCGTTGTACTGCGCCAACCAGTCGTCAATCGAATTGGGACAAGGAATTGGTTCAAAAAATTCKCCATTTTCACCKACTTGGTAATCTTTTTTTGACTTATCYTGCTTAYGAAGTCCAATAGCTCGCTCACTCTCTCTTTCTGTGGGTCTTTGGAATCCTAATGCAAAGGGAACACCGTTGTTTGCTAGTTTGCGTTTCTTTGTTTTTGAAGCCATCGTGGATTTAGGCAGAGAACACGGAAACTGGGCTCTAGACAGTGGTTGCGTGATGCGTGACAGTTAACGCAAGCTTCAGCATTTTTCCCTTCATTTTCGATTTTCCCTTTTTCTACTTACTATTTATCCCATTAAGTGACAAAAAAAATTGGACTGATGAACTAGAACATGATYATATGAACAGTCATTAGGTACATCGTTTGGATTAACCCCATGAAGCAAWTTTTTTACGTATTTTAGATGCAGTCAGCTTTATTTATCGCGTAAAATTGTAGCAAGTTCCACCCTARAAAGACTAGCCCAGCACCGCTTGCATATATCACCATCATCTGTTCTCGACAGCGTTGACGACTGYTGAGCATTTCGTGGATTATCTGATATACAACACAAAATATCACAGGGTAATGTCACCAGTTATGAATTAATTGCCATGGAAATTATTTTATTGTAAATTTGATCTCACTAATACTAGCATTCGTTAGTTCGTTTTACCTTATATATGTCTTCCATTTTTTTCAGATTCTAATGTTTGGCAGGTTTTACTGAAATGCTCTAACGTCACGTGATATCAGATTGTTACGTCACAGTGCGAGACATTTCCATTTGATGAGTGTCATTGGTCGATTTTAAATTGGTACTATGCTATACAACAGATATACATTGTTGTCACTCTATGATCAATTGAAGAAAAACACTTGGCATTATGAGTAAAATGATTGAGTCTCTAACACCGCCCTACACTGAATTCCAATACATCGCTCACCCTTCACACATGAGCAGGAAGAAGACTACTTCCGCATTGCAGACCTGCGCCCTTCCCTAAAAAATCCCTGATAAAACAACGTATTGTAGAAGACATTCGTGTTACTGATTCATGTTGTAATTGAGTACATCATACAATTCATACACAGAAAACAATTTTTTTCTTCTTTATACCCCGCTAAGGCAGTCAATTTACACAGCCACTTTTGGCATTTATTTGTTGAAAGAAGGACTCATTGATGAATGTCCAGGTATTTCCTGGTTTGTGTCCAGGTTTAATTCCTGGTTCGTTTCCTGGTTTGCGTCGCCAGCGTTCTTTGAAACTRCTTTAGCCATGAGTACAGTATCTAGTTTGACTTCCGAGCGGGATGTTCGATCAGGATCAACACGTTCTTTRGTCTTCAGGCAGTACAAACGATACAGGAGCAGTGTGAGGGTGAGGGCGTTTTTTCCAGTGAAGTAAATAAGGACTTCGTCTGCTACGTGGAACTTCAATATCATGACAAGACGAAGGGCCAGGAATGGTCCATCTTGCATGAACACTGGAACTAAGATTTGAAGAAGGTCAGCGTCAAGTCGAAATCTTCTACTGGTGCTTCTGATTGAAGCCTTCGTCTCTAGGTTACATGGTCCGTCTTCTACATTAGTTGGAGAGCTGGTCCCAGGCCGATCAATATTATTAGCCTATGAAAATATAGTCATGGGTTATGCTTCTTACCATGATCGTTGTGGTTAAGATAATTATACAACATGAAGCATACCGTTTCATCASATCCAGCCGTCACTCTTGCTGTTATACAGAACTGAAGCATACTCCAGCTGAACACAGCCAGTGTAATGTAATGCATGTTGATATTATAGGCAACTCCATCATGAGAAAGCGAACTGAATAAATCTGAAATACAAAGGATAATGAAGTCATCCATCACGTGTTGACGTCAGCAATGGGATGACGTCATATATGACGTCARTGCTACGAAAGATTATCTTTTAAGTCACTAAAATATGAATATTTGACGTCATCATTGTGGTAACATATATACCTAGAATATCTGCACCCATTCCAATGTATCCTAGCAACAAGGTAGAGAGTTGGTCACGTGTCAGCTGCCCCCGAGGAAGAAGCCAACGCCCAAGAATGATCAAAATAACGACACCAAGCTCAGCGACCTTCTTCGCAGCAATATTGTCGTCAAAGACGGCTCTGATGTCAAGCTGTAGTTAACACAAAGAAATTTTGAAATTTTAGATAAAATAAATACTATAAAATATATAGATATACATGCGTAATCTGTTTGGATCTTAGTTTTTATTCGRTATGGTATAAAAATGATCCTGGATAAATATTAACCACCTGCACAATTGTTCGGATTTGCTAAAGAAACGATTGAGAAATCGGCGTAAAAGTAATCGTCAGRGGTAAACCGCTATGTTGTCAGAAGATGAATTCATTGTCCTGGTTCGGTTAACCACCTAAAATTTGCACGCATTTGTCGGTATAACATGTCGTTAGTAACGTTGCTGTCTGCCTACCCCTTTTATAGTTATTGGAGGAGCTGAAGGATTGTTCAGTCGAGAAAAAAGCTGATCACGCTCATCCAGTCGATGTTGTAGTAGATCAAGCTCCATGACCCAGATGACAGGCAGCATGGCAGACAAGTACAGAAAGCAACTTGGCCAAAAACTAATAAGAATATCAAATAAAAACGATTATTGGTATATTAACAGATTAGACGTAGAACCGTGGTTTTATGGTTTACCCCCGTGATACATCCTTTGAATTACTTAAATGCTTTCCGCATTAGAATTAAAAAATGTTGATTTTTAATTTTGATCGATACCATCTTTGGAGTTCTTGAACTAGACGACGTAAAAGCACCTGAAGGACATTAWACAACTGTAATGAAGCAACTAGTTACCGTGAAATGTAACTTAAAAGCAGTACAATACACGTATTTCCCCATATTTTGATCACTTGACTATGCAATTTAAGTGGGGCACTCCTTTCTTTCAATATTCATTCATTCAGTTCATTCAGTTTTTCACATGTTCCCATTTGCTCATTTATCTAAACATCACAGAGCAATATCTGACTCAGTGTATGCACCATATGGTTGTGGGTTATGCTGACTATCGTGTAAGAACGCTTCTCACAAGTTTTAAAACGGACTCCGTGCATTGGTGGTCAACATCGTGGGGTTTCATGTGGAATTTAATGTGCACAGCTACTTCTGMMTTTTTTTTATTATTCTGTATRACCAAAGTACAACCGCGAACCTGAAAAATTCACTTGATTAAAGGAAACGAATGAGTAATCAATCTCTCCGGCTTTTTGTGATCAGGATRCTGCATATTATTATTTGGTCTGATGTTCAATTTACTTGTTTGGTTAGAGTTTAGATTGGTGTGGTCGCAGAAAATGCATGCAAAAGTATAATTTCGATATCTAGAATTTTCTTATCAATCTTTACATTTCTAGAGTCTAACCGTAAACTTAAAACATTCTACAATTCGCAGATACCATGAGCAAATTTCATAGATAACAAATTCAATTTATAAATATAATGTAAAAAAGACATACAAGATGTCATGAGATAGATAAGCTATACTCATCGGAGGGTAAAAAAAAGAAAAGTGCAACAATGAAAATAGAAGTTTGAAGATAAATAAGTGACATTTTACTACTCATTAATGCGCGCTAGTAGTTTTAAATGAAAGTACTCGACAACAGCAAAAGTTGACATTACTCTCTGGATTATACTGTCAATTTTGTAATTTTCCTATTTTTATATATATTTAATAAATCGATTTGTTTGTTTACTTACAATTTGTATTCRTTTCCCTTCCGTTTCAGAATCACATGCAGCATTTCAACAATGATGAAGATAATTCCCGACAAAAAGCCCCAAAATAGAGGCTGCTTGGAATGGTAGACCAACAAACCAACAGATACAAAGACATGAAGACAGAACAACAATCGCGTTAAAATAACACAAACAAGAGAAAAAATCATTTTGACATTTTTATCCTAAATAACGCGAGAATGCGTTTGCTTTGAAAGAATGAGCTACTAATTTATGACCTCATCATTCTTCAATTAGCCATTGTTTAGGCGCGGATTGAGAGTCTGGCACCAAATACGTAAATTGTGACATCATAATCAAACTAAGAAAGCTATTGGATGAAATTTAAGCCAATAAAAACCGTTCACATTTCAGCAAATCCCGCCATTCCCCTAGAGTACTCGTCTTTAGTTCTGTTAGCATTGTATTGAAGTCTTTGGAGGCGTTGAATGTTATTTGACTGTCAGTGAAAATGATTCTTCTAGTTGGTACTTTGTCGGTAAAATAAAAACAACAATAACACAACTACGACGACGACGACAACAACACCAACAACAGCATCAGCAACAACAAATAAAACAAAATGATAGATTCAGAGTGTAATACTATACAATTGTGCTCATATTTCTATACCTTTGATAGAATATATTGTCCCCCTGCCCCCCTCATTCGGGGGCCTGGTGACGGAAAAAAATCATTGAAACAGGAATACTATGGCAATTGTACAAAACATTCGTGTTGTCCCACTTTCACGGTAGAACCGGATTCGAAAACATTTATAAGGTAACGTCWGAAAAAGAACTAGCACTTTTTGAGGTAGGTTAAATGCTAAATATAGGCTCAGGTTTCAAGTATAGGCGTGTTTTGTAACCATTGAAAAAGCCGAACCTTTTTTTGGATTATTTTTAATATTTCTTTGTAAGCGTGTAAATATACAGCAACTAATAAGTTCACAAGGAAGGATCGTTTTGCAGGTGTGCATATTTACACACTTTGTAAAGCTTTTTTTTAATCGGCTGTATGTTGATAATACTAGCGAATAATAAACAGTAAGTCGAAAGAAATGAATAGGGTTCTTAAAGTGTACAATATAGAATATACTAAGATTCAACAAAACTAATAATCAATAACAACGATGAAGACTCGARACGAAAGTAAATGATCAGTTGTTGTCTTACAATGCCAGGCAAGATTACCTTAGCAAACTTTTATTGATAAAAGCTTTCTATTGATCCGTGTTGGAAAAACAAAACGTTAATACTGCTACAAAACCACAAAAAGCTGCCGTTTTGTTTTCTTTATCAAATATACATCGCATTGACAATGAATAATACAAAGATTTGGACTTAGTTAAGCAAAGTTTGAAGCGCGCTTAATTGAAGWAGAATGTTGCAGTTAAAGTCCAATATAATCGTCGTGGGAAGGCTTTTTGCTTGGATAACATGTACCGTTTACTATATAAGAAAGATGGGTA